CTATAGGTATGGTCGGACTTTTAGCGTATAGTTCCCCCCTTACAATATAATGCATTCCTTCGTCTGATTTATCTGGAGCGCGCGATTTAACACCTTTGTGCCGTTGTGCGAATGAATTGGATGGATTGTAGGGCGTAAAAATTCTATAGCGCAACCGTGACGTTATAGAACTATTGTTCTTACGTCAACTCATAAAAACGTGGTCTGACCAAACGCGGCGACAACGATATCGAAAGTACGTATGGTAGGGATAGATTAGAGAGATGAGCGGTACCGCTCAATAAAGTAGCAGGATCACGATATAAGAACAATATCTGTTCTTTGGAAAAAGAGAGACTTCATATAGGGTAGAATCATTATATAGATAGAAATCCAGTTACTAGAGCGAAATGATCGGGTTTTGTGGGCTGCAGTGTTCACTGCCAGATCGCTGGAGCGTGGTAGCACTGATTGACATGTGGTTTATTTTTACTGAATAAAAAATCATTGGTAAAAACTGTCTGGTAACAAACATAATTTCATATCGACTGCGTATATGTTAACGGGCGACGCCGAAGGGCGGTACGTTTTGATCGCCGTCAATCATGGGGCGAGCGCCCTTGCCGCAGATGCGCCTGGCATCACAGTAATCCGCAGTGTCTAGGTTTCCAGATGTCTAATATGGGCCAACAAGTTCGTTTCGAAGGAAACTTTTTGCAAAATAAGTTAGAAACAAAGACATATATTTCTTCCGTTGAACAGATAAGCTCGTACCGAAGCCTTGTTTGCCGCTTAGAAATTGCTTTTGATTTGTTAAATCGATTATACAAGCTTTATTTAAATGTCGGATGCGTTTTCAGGGTATAATTTTGCTGTATATCTCGCCAACTGGTCTGAAGCTCATTCCTGTTCGGTCGGCCATATCCAGTCTTAAAATAACGTAACAAAGAGACTCATATTGGTACGGTTATGTTCAATCGATTGACATTTGTTGCTTAGCCAACCCTGCGTGTCTCGACACGCTTCAGGTAGTAGTTTCGTTTATTCGAGCTGCGGTAATAACTAGATCCGTGAACGGCCGGAATCCATTATCCAAGGAAAGGCGTGCATTTATTTATGCCGACACGCAGGCACGAGCGCCCAAAGCGAGTTAAGCAAATGGTTTTTCGGTTATTTTACACGACATATATGTACACCCTTCGTAAGCCCTATCCAGTAGAAAGTTCTGTAGGAAACGCAGAATTCTAATGTCATATTTACTATATAGAAGGTATTTATTTTGTAATTTTGAGCTTTAGTAAAATGTAGACTTTTATGGGTATATATTCCTCGTCTGTGGGATAGATACCCGTAGGGCGAAAATGTCTTTTGCAATATGCGAATTTAGTGACAGTAAGATAGGGTCCCCGCGAACGTGGTCGCCTGCTAAACTTAGAACCACGTAAGGATGCCTAGGTCTGGATCCGGCCTTGGATACACAGTCTGTTTTCTGCTGGAAGAGATTAGCAACCAGCTGAGACGACGTTTAATAAAGCCAGTACTACAGTGAAATGTAATTTCTTCCATAGAATTGATTGCGGTTCAGGAGCCATCCCGAAGGAACTCAAATAAACAAACGAAATAGACTAGTAGTCTAAAAGAAAGTAGTGAATGTCGCAGAAGATGCGCGATTGATTTTCTTGCGTATCTATAATCTTTTTACAGTCATTGAGATTAATCTAATTAGGAAAAGGAGGAGGCAAAGAGGGAACATTTAGGGCAATCCATGGACAGCTATAACTCATTGACTACGAACGCGGAAGTCCAATTGAGCTCTTATTTATTATTTTTGGCTTAGTTAGAGGCCTTCAAAGCCGACGCCTACCAGTGACACCATTACTAACGATCGACATATGCCCCTTTGATTACTAGGGTTAACCGCGCATTGGCTTCGTAGGCTACCAGTCGGTACGAGGCTAACCTAAACCCACGGGCTACGAACCGGCTGGCTTATACTAACATGTCTCCCTTTAAACTAATTACATCACGCTGATAGCGTTGCTATGAGATGTTTGTCGGATTCATCAGCTTATGGATGCACGTAACACTTTCCCGAATCAAAATATGTCTTGTTTTATATGGGCGCTATGTTTTTTCTCGGTAGCCCCAATCTGTGGAAGTCTATCAAAAACAAAAAGCAATTTCAGTTCGCGGAGAATTACGGAGTTATCCCTCTCCGACCATCACTACACATTGACAATATTGGCATTTATAAAAGCTTCAAGATGGTAAAATAACACGGGTAGACGAGAATAGGGTACAGCGACACAAGGGAAAACATGAGCAAATATAGAACGATGTTATGCGTCCTTAAAATAGAACACGATAAGTGCACGATGCAGCGCCATCTACAGCATGATACGAAACAAGACATATACAATACCAGCATTTAAAGCCTTGACAAACAGGCATTCGCCGTGGCCTTTTTAAGAAGCACGGAGTTATATCATCCGAGATGTGACATTGCTGGTTAGCGTTTCAATAGAACACAGGGCCGGCAAAGTAAACATTTGACGAAGGATGGCATACGCCATTTTTGTGAAGACCTAAAGACTATGCACGATTTCAAACTGACGATTTCTGACTGATTCGCACCGTACGAAACAAGCGAAACAGCTGAGGACAATTTCATGCTTCGCCGAAGCCAGTGGAAACAAAAGTACCGCGAAGGGAGCTCATAAGTGATCGATAATCACTTCGATACTTATTAGCTTTTTTCAACGAAGGAGAGATTCTCGTAGTTCTGGACATATTACATGGCAATGGGCTTAATCTAGCCCATTGCATATGTACATATTAATGGCACCCTGTGCTTACATTCTCTGAGAATAGACTGATACCTAAGTCTTAATAGGGAAATTGATCTCAATCATTTACTTTCTACACGGCAATTTTGCCTCTCCGATATGACCGATTCTTGTCGCGTTTGGATAGCTGACATTTTTTATTGTATCACAGTAGAAAAATTAGCGTAACAAAGCCCTAGCGAGGGAAATATTGATCTTGAAGCTAGATATATATGAAATCAATGTATTTTTTGTAATGCTATTAATTGATACTAAAGTGCAGAAAGAAACGATTTTTATTAGGATCTCATATATGCAGATACACTCAGGGTTTAATCGTGTTTAGCTATTTTACTAAAAACGATGCTGTTACGCTTTCCTAATGAGAAGTTTAATGGAAGACAAATGGAAGCAAATAAACAGTATTATACGGGCTCGACGTAAATATCTCTACTGCCTGTTCCAGATACTCTCATACGTAGTAATCTACATAGGTTTCCTCTATAGCGCTTATGCGATCTACACAAAGATATGCAACTTTTAGAATTAAACCTCTTTGCTAGGAACATTGTGGATGCAAGCTCTATAAAGAAAAATCATTAGCCAGGTCAGAGTGTTCAGAGTCTCCTTGTCAGCGCCAGATCCTATGCGCAGCTCAATGCGAGTAAACCTTGGCCAGAGCTCCCAATACGATTTCTTTAAACAGAACCATTCATTTTTTTCCTTCATTTTTGGACCGTAATTACGGGCCCGCAACAGGCCGTCATACGTACACCTAAATAAATGCACGAAAGCTGAATGTGTTTTCTCTTTGACATATTCATAACGTGTGATCAGGCGCGTCCTCCTTTCTGAGTTATTGTAATGGAAGGCTCACATATACAGTGCATTCTGACCGATAACATAACGATTTCTATTGGCGTTAGTGCTGCTGTTGTGGCCGCCGTTTCCTAGAACGAATCGTCGCACGGAATCTATATGTGATGGATTACGGTTTGAACTGACAGGCCGAGAGCGGTGTCGCTTAATAGCTCGTTTGTTACTTAACACTTGCTTAAGGCACTTCCTCTTGCCGCCGCTGTTAGCTGAAGCTGAGCGAAGATTGTTCGAACAACTCGAGTCTAAAAAAGCGCGAAAGCGTCAAAGTGGAATTGTCCGCTGCCGTTGCCGGGATTCATCGACAACGCAACCCGTGGAGGCTATGGCCACTCGCATGCTAGGTCCAACGACCGACCACCCGCCTGGGCCTACACAGCCCGATCTATGCCACCGCAAGAAACACGTGTACGTGGGGGCAAGCCAGAATTACCTCTCTGTTCAGCAGTGAGAGGAACAGACAGCGACTGTATATGCTGAGAGGGTGGATGCACGTAATATTTCATCGTAACGGCTGAATGACTGGCAAGTAACATACATGCGTGCTTTTCGCCACAATTAATGGCTGAATAGCGACTAGGTAGTACCATTGTGACTAATCAAACTTTGTTCATGCTCTTCCATCACTCCTGCGAACTCTGTAGAAAAGAGTGACTTGCTGGCCCCACGTACGATTTCATCCGTCACGGTGGACGGATAACTAAAGCGGTGGCAGCGCAGAGAATAAAACTATGGAACGATAAACGATATCAGCGCAACAAATTTATGGCTTTCTGACACGAAAATAGGTTTATGGCAGGGTATCGACATGCCATCATAGCTGACAGTACAGAAAATGCTGGTAATGTTAGTGCCACTTACGGTGATCTTATTGTACAGTGATGGTTTGCGTCTTCATGCTAATTGTTCATGGCCTGAGTGCAAAGAAGGCATTATTTTATAAACATCGGGTGTAGGACGATAACTGAAGGGATCAGCTACGTGACAAATGGGTTCACTCCGCATCCTTTGCATGTTTTAGATTAGGCGTGATGAAAATGGGGTTTGTCGATTTTTTATTTGTGCCATTGCAATTGGCAGAGTTGAATATTACTTTTGAATTTGAGGTACTGATTTCAACTTATGGTAGGAGTCCGTGTACACTGATATTTTGTACATGAACAAAAAGAATTATCGACAACCTTTGATATAATCCAGTTTTGTCAAATCAATGCGTTCGCGACAATAGATCAGATAAATGAAAGCACCAGTTGCTCGCCACCAGACCTCTTATATCTTATCTATTATCTTCTTCTTTGTCATGTTCTTCGTAAATTTCAGATACTCGCGATGCTCCGTTACCTTTGTTACGGTCCACAACCGTCAAGCAGAGAACAGGCAGTATCGATCGGGAGTTCTCCTTAACTTTGTCGTGAAAGCAGCACCTACCCACTCAGTTTTCAACACAGGCCTACAGCACAGAGCCGATCCTTATTGCTATCATCATCATCATCAACAACAACAGCAGCAGCAGCAGCAACGGTTCTCCCTTCTCTCGCCAACGGCCTCTGCGTCCTCGCTGAGTTAAAGCCGCAATGAAGACGTTTGGCCTGCGGCTCAACAATCTGCCATTGCTCATTGAGCTATTACTTCTATTGCAGATAGCGGCGAACCAGTTTTTTACGGTAGAAGCTCGCATCACGAGTCCTTGCTTTGGGTCTGATTGCCACTCCGTCGCTCGGTTGGTTCAGTTTCACTCGATATCAGTTGTGAGCGGACCGTGCGACGTGGACAATGGGGGCTGTGAACAACACTGCCGGTCTGAGAACGGTACAGCCGAATGCTATTGTGACACCGGATTTCGTCTAGGTTTCAACGGCAAGGATTGTCTCGATATTAATGAGTGTCAACTTCTCAGTCCGCCGCCCTGCGATCACCGTTGTATCAATCTACCAGGCTCATATCGCTGCGTCTGCAACGACTCATTCACCCTATCACCTTACGATCTCCGAACGTGTCTTTCATCCGAGTCCACTGCCAAGACTTCAACAAACGACTCATCATCGTCACCGTCGTTGCCGACTTCATCGTCCCAATTTGACACTTCATTTCTAAGAAACACCAAATACACTTCGTATTACTGCCGGATCAATAATGGAGGATGCGCTCACCATTGCTTGCCAGACAATAATTCGCAGACAAACTTTGTCAAATGCTCGTGCCGAAAAGGGTACCGATTAGCGAAGGACGGTAAGGAGTGCAAGGACGTCAACGAATGCTCTCGCAACAATGGTGGCTGTGAACAGATCTGTAAGAATGAGCCAGGTGGATATCGTTGTGCGTGCTACCGAGGTCATGAGCTACACCAGGACAATCGAAGGTGCGTGCTTATGCAGAGCACAAATCTGCGTCGAATGGAAGTAGACGCATCTGCGGCACGTTCAAACCGAACGCATTTTGTAGCGCTATCGCGATTTTTGAGGCAGTGTCCATTCAACAAATATGGACGCAACTGTGAGCACAAATGTCATTGTCACCCCCAGCATGGAAAGTGTCACCAGCGTACGGGGCATTGCAAATGTAAGGCTGGCTTCCACGGGCGGCACTGCCACCACCGATGCGAAGTCGGATTTTTTGGGCCCAACTGTAAACATCAATGTAACTGTGGGCCAAACTCGGAGGGCTGCCATAAGAGCACAGGTAGGTGCTATTGCAAGAAAGGCTATAGTGGGTCGGACTGCTCGATCTCGGGGTGTCCTGATGGCTATTTTGGACCGGACTGTCTGAGTTCTTGTCGCTGTATGAACGTTGCCCGATGCCACAACGTCACCGGGGAATGCCAATGCGGTCCCGGTTTTCGGGGTCAGTTTTGCGAGGCTTCGTGTCCCGAAGGCTATTATGGGCATGATTGCAGACGGCGATGCAGCGGCTGTGAGGTGTGCCATCCCGAGACGGGCGTGTGCTTATCTCATTTCCGATTTAATTGTCGTGGAGATGCTTGTCGATCGTCGTTGCAGACGTGTGATTGTGAGCATGGCTCTTGTAGTATGGGACGCTGTATCTGTAAACCTGGCTGGCAGGGCTGGAGGTGTGATGAAAAATGTCCCGAAGGCAAGTACGGTCAAAATTGCCGCCACACCTGTCGCTGTACGAAGGGCAGATGTCATCCTGCAGACGGTCGTTGTATCTGCCCACCGGGGTATACTGGCGCGCGTTGTGAACAGCCCTGCTCAAAGGGATTCTTTGGACATCGGTGCGAACACAAATGCAACTGCAGTCGAAATAGTGAGTATTGATCTAAACTAGCTCGAACGAATTAGCCTGATCACTGCAGTAAATAGATTTGGTTACCAACAGATTTACTAGGCCGTTTACAGCATAAATGGGTTGCACTATAAAGATACATCATTTTTTTTATAGGCCAACTATATATTATCTAAAGCATCGTGTGCTGTTTTGTTATCTTATAGGCGCGTGCGATCATGTCAGCGGAAGATGTCAGTGTCCAACTGGCTTCGAGGGCTCTCGTTGTGATACCCCTTGCCGCAATGGTTATTATGGGCCTAACTGCAACTTTCGATGCGGCTGCATGAATGATGCTCCATGTGATGCATTTACAGGTGGCTGTAGATGTTTAGCAGGTTTTACCGGGCCACGGTGCGAGAATCAATGCCCACCCCTAACTGCTGGTCCGTATTGCGGATTGCTATGTCAATGCAAAAATGCCGGTACATGCGACCCAGTAACAGGGTATTGCGAATGCCCCGCTGGTTTTCAAGGCAAATATTGTGAACGAGCCTGTGAGGATGGATTTTTTGGTGCATCGTGTGGATTCAAATGCAGCTGCCCGAAGTGCGATCCCGTCCACGGGGACTGTCTCGTGACAGGGAGCGGATATGAGTTGTGAACGAAAAGAACGGAGCCCTCAGCATTACTTCAGAAAAAAAGTTTCTCATTAGAGTTCCTCAGCTGTGACAGCCCCCCTTAACAGCCTATTGAGCTTTGCTTGTTGAAAACAGTGCCGCTGGTTTTTTCGAAAAAGCTATGCTAACCTAGCTTTTAGCAAGTACGACGCTAGCAAAAGCGGGACGAAACGAGAGTCAGTTGAGTCGTCTTGTTTATGTTGTATCAATATTTGATCCCATATCTTAGCGCAGTCTCATATCGTTACATCTACGCTTATATGGATGAGCAGATCAAAGTGGGCAGATTGCACGAACGATACGTTTCCCTTTTCAGTGCTCGATAATCAAAATCTTCACGAGGATCCCAACAAAGCGACAACCAACAAAACAATACATTCGCGTATATCGTAGGCGAAAACGGGCAATAGAAAAAAACAAGTGAAGCAGGACTTTTCACAGTTTGCATTGTCAGTACCAACCTTAGCCGCCCCGAAATCGTCTTTTTGCACAGAACAGTTTAATGATGATGCCCATAGTGCCAATTACTTCACCTGTGATCTCCCTGACCAGGACAAAGGACGACTCCCGGTCCGGACTATTTATTGTTTCCCTTGGCCAGGTCAACCAAAACAAGCGTACACAAGCCTGGCTAGAAAAATACAATAACGTACAGCATATGTAAACTCTATGCAGAGGCGTGCCGTATACGATGAAAGATCCAGTCAGGAATCAAGAGGGAATAAACGGACGAGTAAATGGGACTGAAAGACATATGTGTGGAGATAAATGGAGAAACAGCAAGCTACTATTGTACTAGTTTGGGAACCTGTTGATATCCACAGAATGTGACGTGTCACGTAACTGTCAAGTCAGAGCGTGGATTTCGTTGGCAGGTATCGACGACAGACGATTCTTCGTAATGACAATGATAAATCTAAAGTTTGACTAATCAAACGATAAATCATGCTAACGAACAATCCGTGGCGTTTACCTCTCTACGATAATATACATTTTGTCATAATTTATATATAAACAGAGGTATAAACCTATACAATAGGCTAAAGAAGAACAACGACGTTCGTATTTAATGTGCGCACCAACACAACCTAATAATGTGTAATAGTTGTGTACTCCTTAAATGGTCAGTATATTAATATACTTTTTACATGTGTAACAAAAAATCAGTAAGTTTACTGATACTTCTATTTGCTATGGCCATTTATGAATCATATATGCAACGACTATCTGTTGTAGTTTTACGTAAGTTAACGGATACGGCGGCGGAGTTTGTTCCCTGCCGCTTTGTATTCCTGTGATGGCACAACAGTGACATGTTTAATGACTAAACCTACGGACACGTGGTTCGTGTCCGTAGGTTTAGTCAATTCGAAACGACTAGTTGGTTTCGCAGTAAGAGGCAATCGTCTGAAGCCATGCTTAACTAGGACGGTACCGAACGTAACACTCGAAACATTGCATAGCTATACGTAATACGTGAAAAATTTCCTACAACTACGACATTTGTGCATAGCTTCAAAATATTAGTATTATTTAGTAGTAATAGAGGCGATACAGCTGGCCTAAGCGGATCTACACACCGGTCCATGAAAGCTCCGTATTCGTGTCCAAACCGCTTTGAAAAGGATGTTGTCTTCAGGGACCTTTTTCCATCCAGGGCTAACCACCTAAAGGTCTCGTCGAAATAACCTTCTTTACGGAAGGTGACGGCACGAATTTCTGTGCGCGTATCCTGTTTCCGACGTTTTTCTTTCTAAAACGTATTTGGAAATTTACTAGAAACATTGTATTATTTTCTGTCTCCCGTTACCACCCCGCCACCACATTGCGCTGCCAAAATTAACGAGTATATATACGTATATATATACACATATATGTATATATATATATATATATATATATATATATATATATCTATTATTGCGCTTGATCGCGGATGGAACAGTACTAATTTGGAATATAGTTGATAAGTAAATATTATAAATAAAGATTATTTTCCGTAGCAAATGAGAACTATGAACGGTGAAGGTTCAGAAGCTCTCGCTGATTTTTACAAATCAGACATGTTAGCATAGCATATATATATATAGGTAGGCGTATACACACACGTATACATATACATATATATATATATAAACGATACAAATATACAGACACACGTAGATCCGGAGATCCGTAAACAACTCATGAATGTCCTTCTAGTAGACGTAATACTGCTATAAAATATTTTTCGTGGCACGAATGAGTTGATAGCGATGACGAGCGTAACGGATGCATTCATCAAATTGATCAGCGGCCATTTATGGAGGTTCTTCATCAAGCTTACTCCTTTCCAACCTGTATCGGATATGCACAGCATTGTGACTTCTCGTGAGTGCGTTAATCTGAAGGCGTCATTTATTGCCGACGAAGCTCGAGTTTTTAGAGACTGCATTCTACACTTGAACCCTCAATAGCCCCTCGCACCCCCTCCTGTTTACATTGTAAATAGTTTGTGTATAAAAAGAGAGAACGATTAGATGCAATTACTATGCCCCATGTTAATGATGAATATTATTATTATTAATTATGGAATGATCTATCTTATTTCAAAAGGAAGAAAGGGATAAGGAAGGCATACCTTAGACGCGAACGTTTTTTCAAACCTGTCTGATAGAAATTAACACAAAAATATCTAGGAATGCAAGCGAGCTAGGAAAACAAAAAAAGGAAAGCTTAAAGGAAATCTGCAACGTTACAAACGAAATTTTGTTGACGAGGGTTGGATGCCCTGATAGAAATCGAGCCTGGGTTGATCGTTTACGAAATCGATAAGAACCGATGCTAATACAAAGATTGTATGTTGTCATCTATATGTAATTGTTTAATAAAAGTCACAGCTAAAACGGCTGACGCTTTTTTGCTCATCATATAACGTTAGACATTCATATGTTGACATTTTTAACGCCATTATTTTTCAAGTCGGCATTTTTATGCAAAAAAAATATTCGGTGTTTTATCTTGTACGTGCATTCTCTTCAAAACTTTTTTTGTTATGGTTATTATTGTATATTTATATAATATTATTGTATTTATAATTAGCGACAAGGCTGGTGTGAATCGATCAGAGGCTAACCAATAACATGAAGGTCAGATATTCGGTACGATTTGCCTTTCAGCAACGCTGAACGCTTTCACGAATGGTCAGAAAACATCTATCTGATAGAAGCACGCCCGCATCGGGGCGCGACGTCGGTGGCATGCTCTACTGACGCGGTCATTTCCTTCTGTGCGGGATTCGTCAATTAAGACACAGGTTTTTGTTACTAAATTGTAAACATGAAACATGAAATAACGGAGTAATCGAGCAGTACTCAATCGCCGATAGAACGTTCGTTGAGTTCGCTTTCGTTACATAGAGACTGTCCAATAAACTATATCACCTTACGGAAGACTCTTTTGTTCTCTTTATTCCAGCATATCTCTGCCGACATAGAAAAGAAAAAAATAATTTCTTCGAGAAGAAGAAGAAATCTTTTGGACACGTTGAAGCTTCAATGACGCATGATTTTATTGTTAGAAATTAAAATTTATGAAACAAAAGTTATCTAGCAAGTATTACTTAGACAGTATATGTGGAAATGTGTGAGAACGTTATGATACGCGTACGCAAAAGAGAGTGGGCCGTCTGTCCAAGGTATTGAGTCATTTAAGCAAAATAAGTGAGAGCAACGAATCAAATAAAGAAGACCTTGAATTCAGCACGATTTCCCCGACAAAATCAGTTTCTCCAAATGGCTATAGGCCACAGAGTGTGTGCCTTAAATAGAGATTCTTGCATTTAATGGCGCCAAGATGTTTGATTAGGCTGTTAACTCCTGATAGCATTACAAGAAGTTGTTGAAACAGCAACCATTGACCATAACCACAAATGCTCGACACTGACACTGGCGAAAAGTAAGCGACTTTCGGGGGTATCGGATATTCTCAATCGATGAAGACCATCTCAATGATAGGCATATTTACAAACGGAGGTTTACAAAAAGTAACCAAGAGCTTCATGGGTAGCAAGTCTTTACGTTTTTCCTTATGAAAAAAATTCACATTTTCTGGATCGGATAATCGCAGTGACCAAAAAATGGGCCACTCTAGGCTAACCCAATCATCATCGCGCTCATATGGGCACGTACAGCAACGTGTTGGTTTCCTAGGGCTTGGGCTCAATATAGCAGATTCAATAGAGGTATTACTCCCGAAAATACCCAGCACTTTTGAAAGCACACATCTTTTCCTGTCCATAGCAAACGCGCATTATAATTAGCGGTCATAATGTCGAGCATTTCTTATCCTACCGAAAATTGAACTAGTTAAAAATTTCGCCTTTTCCTTTAAGTCTGCCAAAACACTTGGTCGTATCGATAAAATTGTTCATTGCAGCCTTCTACACTCGAAACTTGTTCCAGGTTTTCGTTAATTTCACATTTGCGTGGTAGCAAATGACAGAACAACACTCAGCTTTACGCAGATACAGTTCCTAAGTAATTCAACTTTAAAGTTGAAGAATTACAAAAAAAAAAAAAAATAGAACTAGTTATTTTTAGGCAGATGAGTGATTAAAATTGACATTGAACGGTATGCAGATTCTAATTTACAGGGGCAAATCTTTACGTGCTCCATCAAGGTAGTATTCCTCATATAATTGTCGTTTACTTCCCTAAGTGATATGACTGAGCAGGGATTTTTACGAACTACAATCTTCGGCACCATAATATATAAGCTACACATTAAGATATGTTTTGCTTTCTACCATACATCAGCCATTAGTGTGGACTGAGCTCGAGTTTTAAAACGCCCTGTATGTCCATAGACGTAACCATTATAAATCAAAAAAAAAAGTGAGAAGATCCTTAAGGAATAACCTTAGAGACCGACAAACTTAGCTGAATCTCTGCTAGGCATATCCACATTGCCGTATTGCCACGCGTCCAGTAGTTTACAAATAGGCAAAGAATAAGCTCGGAAGCATAAAATATGACTTATTTGCCATAAAATTGCAACAGTTGTTTAAACACGTTAGCGAAACAGCTGATGCTAGTTCGCGCCGAGTCACAATCATATTCCTGTTTAAGGCCTCACAAGTTACTCAGGCATTCATAAATTCATTTAGAAAGGCTTCTTGAATTGTAGATTCAGTGTACTCTTCATCAGTTATCAATTTTCTAAGGGGCTTTGATTGAGCTCATACGGAATATCTGATTCGATTGAAATATCAGTAAGTGACCGTCGTTGTCATGACTGTGGGCAGTTTCCGACTTCCCTCGACAGTATTCTACCCCAAAACGGACCGATGTTCAAAAACGTCTTTACGCGTCTGGTCGATACACGGAAAGACGATGAAGAGATTCCTTACGTTCGATTGTCTGGGTTGATTTTAACTGTCAGACTGATAGGCCCGGCAGGTTCTGAAGTGCGTCGAAGTCTCAGCAGTCGAAAGCTACCAGTGTTAACTGAATGCCAATTAAATCTTTCTGGGTTCCATACTGCTTGGACTTAGATCTCCTAGCTTTGGGTCCTAAGCATAAGTAAGCTCGAGAATATTCTGATATGAAGCCCAAATCGCCTATTTTCAAGTTCTCTTGGCTCTTGTGCCATTTTTACCTTTGAACGAGACAATCTAGTAGAGACTGGCGCTGAAGATCCTTGGAAGAAAATCAAGCGTCAATTGACCAAGTCAATATGCGAATTGGTCATCTCGTGTTAGTTACAACTATAAATTTTGCCACAGAAAATGGCACATTGGAAGTTATTTCAAAACGAAGAAACTCCTACCACCAATAAACGTTTTTCATAAAAGCGTAAGGTCCAATCTAGATATGTTCAGGCTGTTGTTCCTCTGCCATTGTTGCTAACAGCCGGATAGGTTATTAAAAACCGTAGTTCTGACAATATGCTACTCACCTTTTACACTTCTTTTTGTGCGTTCTATTTAGAGTTCGGCCCGTGTCTAATTATAGAAATCATTATAAATATTTCTTGAAGCATTCTTACATGAGCTTGATTTATTTATGTATAAAGACGGTCACTGAATAGTAAGCAGGCGAAGCCAAAGGTTTAGATTCAAAACATTAAACATTGTTCTAATTTCCACAGCTGTATGTTGTAGATTTGTGTGGCAATAGCAAAGAGTATGGTATAAGCTTTGGATATGATTGTCTTTCTCATTGAAGTATCACACAGTGTTATCACATAGCTAATCTGATGAAGAACTTTCGAAACCCTGCAGTTCTGTTATAATACAAGGCTTACACGAAGACGCGGAACAAATTCGATTTTTTCGATAGGTCGTATGATTCTTTGTCCCCACCTCGTTCATTGCGATATAAACAGTTCTCTTCGGTGGTCTATGGCAGAAAAATAGATTTTCGACCAACATTAAATGTCTTTTAATGTTCCACGAGGGCGCGCTGATCGATAAGACGCTTGGTATAAGCACTTGATTTGATCGAGATCAAATTTTTTGCGCCTCTGTCAAAGAAAGCAATGGTTCCGAGCCGTCCGCCGGTGACAGAATGGTTTTACGAACCGAAGATCCTACAAAGCTCAGCGTTTATTTCAAAATGATTGAGTTAAAGGAACAGCTCAAGATGCAAATAGATGTCAGCTAAAGATATCTTGCTGAGCAAATTTAATATTCTTTGAAATGTAATGGGCTAAAGATTCACATATATTCTAATGTTTTAACGCTAAATTTGGTTGAAGATTGTAAAATACAAACAGGAAGCGTTAGTTCCCCGTCCTGAACAGTCGGGATCGGCATCATTCTAATACAAAGTTAACGTTTCTATGAGTTGTAGTGAAGTCATTTTTACTCTGCAACCCGATTTTTTTCCAGAAGTTTGTTCAAACCTACATATATATCAGATGTTTTCAAAAGTAAGAAGAACGTCATTAAATAATAAATTAAGTAAAGAAATTCCATATTTTTAGTAAATGACTCATTTTTCTCATCAAGCTCGGAACTTTTTAGCTGTCCTCGTGTGTTCAGGAACGTTATAAGTTCGCGTATTGGACAATAAACAATTGTGGTACCCAAAAATTGGTTGTATTCTATAATATCAATGACTAACATTGTGATTGGTACTGATTGCATTACATATATACGACTAGAGGGCCGCAGTCACATGTCATCTTGAACAATACACATTTATTTCATAATGGCTCTTTTTTCCAAAACCGAAGATAGCTCTGATCAAAAATCATGGCTACCACGCTCTGTCGCACAATGGTCCCATTATCAAGTAAAATTGTAGAATGCTCCGAGACAGTAAATAGTAGTAAAATACATTTTTATTCAAACCTTCAATTAGGTTGATAATTATAATAAGATAATGGCACACATGAGCGCAACAAATATGCTACCCTGGTACTACCAATACTATTAGCTCTTGGTAAATCATAGTTCTGAGCTTAACTAAATTTCGAAATTTTCGATAAACTGTTGTCTCCCTTCTTCTGCTACGTGGAATGGGTGACTAAACGCCCTACCGCAACTTCACATGTAGCCTATATGCCGCTGCTCGTTGTAAGTGTCGGTCAACCACCTCAGCAGGTTACTGATGGCGCTCTTTTTTCTGAGCACGTGTCGCCTATTTATCCTTATCTGAAAATACTTTTTATCTCTTATAACAACCCATTGGCCTGATGCGTGTTTGCTGAGCGATTTATATTGTTCTAAAGATCGGAAATGTGAGAAAATAAATGCATAACGTCCACGAATGGGAACTGCCTTCAGTGTCGCAACAGAGTTATCTCCGAAAAAAAAAAGTCATCAGAGAGCTAAACTGTTGCCCCTAGAATCACAGCGACACCAGACTATTTGGCAGCACATTCGCTTTCTTGTCTCGAACAACAAAAAACTAAAAACAAAATAGGGGCAATCGTCAAATTATACGCAGCAACAGGACAACAGCTGGCCTGACAATAATAACAA